TGAACATTAACATTATTTTACTTGCTGAAGAAAATATAGTACAGACCATTGCACTTCACATTGCTGGTTATGTTTTGAAGTCAGGAATGTAAGTGCAATGTAACCTATATGGGAAGCTAGGGAACTGGGTGTTGTTGAGGAACCAGGTCTGAGTCTGTGTAGTGGAACCTATAGGTAGTGTGAATTGCACTCTACTGTTCACACTGCTTCAACCATAAAACAAAATGCCTGGAGTGAGGTATTTGTTATAACACATATATATGTGTATATAGTATTTAATAATCCTGTACATGTATGTATTTCATGTAATGTACAAGGTAGTATGTATATGACTACAGATGATTTGGAATGTAACTTTTTAAGAGCTTGTCTTGTCATTTTAAGAAGAATTCTTGGTCAGCAAACCCCTGATTCAAATGCTACTGACTGGATAAAAAAAAAAATCCTCTGAAGTCAGAGGCAGTAATGGGAGTTGGGAGAACCTGGTGGCATTCAGCAGTGCAGTGTGTAATCAAGATGATCATGGAAAGCCATTTTGTTTTATATGTAACAAGTGCACCAAGGAATGTAAGTGTTAGATGCAGAAACCTTCCACTCTGCAGGAAATGGTGAGCACAGTTTTGCTCTGAAACCATGTAACCCAGTCAGAGGACTCAGGTACCAATAATCTTCATGTAAAATGTTCAGGAAAAACTGTAAATAGATTTTAGGCCCATCAAAAAATAAATCATGCTTAGGTATTACATAAACTATTGTGTCAGGGTTATAGGATATTTCTAGGGAGTATGTATATTGTTAGCTAGATCATGATAATGTAAAATAGGTAGCTGTAGATAGCAATAGAAATAATTTTTGGTCTTCTCCCCACAGTTCCCTCAGTCCAAGCATATCAAGGAATAGCTTCATCTTTGGGCAGAATCTGCAGTCTAAAGTGGTGGTGAGTTTTATTCCTGGTATATTGATGATCTCTCTTCACAAGGGTGAAATTTAATTCAATCCTTACTATGTTTTATATATATATATTTTATTTTATTTATTTATGTATTTGTCCCATGTCATGACGTAGGCAGTGTAGTATTATATGTATTACTATTTATAGTATGTTTTGTAAAGCTAATGTGGGGAATGATAACTCAGATTGAGGTATGATTAGCACTGACAGATGGTGTGAGTTGGTCACTCATTGATCCTTTGTCTTCGCCAATGTTATTTTGCTTGAGTATCATAACGAGTGTAATACTTGGCATCCCCTCCTTTCTCTCCATTCCCTTCCCTTACTCTCTGCTGTCTAGGAGCCCAGTCTGTGCGTGGGCAGTAGTCTCCCATCTCTGTAGAATGAGATGGGTCTTCTCTTTTGTGCACCTTTGAGGCTTCTTAGGAGACTTGTTGACTTGTTTTAGAATAGTCTCGAGTCCTCATTCCAGTGCATTCTTCTTTTCAGCTGGTTGTGTGTATGTCATTGTAAACTACGCATAATTTGAGGCTGTTTGAATGATAATACTAAAGGTTTTAGTTAGATTTTTATTTTTTGTTCAGAAGAAGTTGATATGTCAGCCATAACTGGTTTGACAAAAATAAAAGAAAAGGTTGTCAGGTGATTGTGAGTTTACAAAAATACCTTAAGTGAAACAAAGGAATGGAGGTTCAGAGAATAATACTAAGCTTGTGTTGCAGCTTAGTTTTGTATTTTTTTTTCCAAATACTAATTTCTTCCTTTCTGTAGTTAATTTATATTTTAGTATCCTTACCAAATCTATCTTGACAGTTGTCTTGTATCCCACCTTTCCTTTCCTCTCTCTCATTTCCTGCTATTTTTTTTGTTGTTGCTTTCTTATCCCAAGCATACTCTGATTTTCCTTTTTCTCCCTGTGTACTTCTCCACTGCATTCTTATCACCATCACGGTCACTCTCATTACCAGCTTCCTGCTAAGCATCAGTATCATTCCTCATTATCCATTTTTACCTTCAAATTGCGAAGGTCTTTGTGCGAGTCTTCAGAAAGCATGTTCTCTCTTCAGGCAGGAGACAGTTCAGTCACGTCATCCTCGGACTCGGCTGCCACCACCAACGGGGAGAACCAGACAGGAAACCTCTTTTCGGATGCTGCCTCTGAAATTTCACGTGTAAGTTTGCGCCTTTTCGTTGATTTTCTGTTCCGATTGGTTTTCTGTGAGGGATTCTTACTTGTGGGGTTAATTTTGCCAACGAAGAAGGAATTGTGTAATGGATATTGGGAGAATATTCATCAATATGTTTTTGTTTTTTACCGTTTTTGCCTCTTTCTACAGGTACCCGAATCAGCTGCAACAAATGGGAGGATGACTACTGGGAATCTTTTTTCTGATGCAGCCTCTGAAATATCGCTGGTATGTTGATACACTTTGTTTATCAGCAGTGAATTTGATAGGTGTTCTTGCTATGATTTTATATGCACCTGGCTGTAAGTTTCAGTAAGGTAATGGATTCAGCCTTTGAAGATAGATTTTATTACTGATTTCATAGCCTGCCTTTCAGCCAAGAGAAGATCGTTTGTGGAACAGCAGGCAGTCGCTGGCAGAATCGTCTAGGGAATTGACAGAAAAGGAGAATAGTCAGAAACGCAAATTTGACCAGGTTGAGGTCATCACTGGGGAGGAGAGCGAGTCAAATGTATTGCAGGTGGGTATCTCAATAAGGTTGCGTGTGAATGAAACAATAGTATTTGATATTATCGTTATGTTAAGCCCTCAGCAGAGAAAGGGATTTTCATGATTATTTTCCCTCCATTTTGGGGTTCTGCATCATTAGGATAGGAAAAAAGAAAAAGGATTAAATTGAAGATACAGATGCATAGTAAAAATACTTACAATTTTTTTTTTATCTCAATCTCGTTTTGTCTGAACAGATGAACTGCAAGCTGTATGCATGGGTTAGTGGATCTTGGCAAGAGCGAGGTCGTGGCATTCTTCGGTTAAATGACTGGGATGCTGGACAAGAAATACATTCCCGTTTGGTCATTCGAACACAAGGAACACTTACAGTCATGCTAAACACAAAGGTAATTCACAGAACAGTAAGCAATCTTTTTTTAATCTGAATATTGTGAAACCTACTGATTTGGAGCATGTATATTTTCATTACTTGAAATTACATATGAAATGTAAAAGCATATCTATCTCGTCACAGGTTTGGTCAGATATGTCCGTAGAAAGAGCCAGCAGCAAAAGTGTCAGGTTCACAGCACTAGATGCAGATGGTCAACCAAAAATATTCCTTGCAATGGTAAGCCACCAGCAGTTTGGATAGTTCTTATTCTGTTGACGTTAAACTGATTTTACATGGTACCGGTTTAACCTTCTAGTTCTTTATGAATAGAATAATGGTTTATGCTTATCCTTCTCAGGGAAGTCCCAAGGACGTGGACCTGCTGTACACTTCCCTGGAGTGGCGTGTCGCAGCCTCACGCTCTCAGACCAATGAGGAAGCACAGGCGGACAGTGTGAAAAAGCCTAAAAAGGAAGAAGGGGGAGCTGAATCTTTGACTTCTTAGACATGTATAGCTATATATATTTTGTCAGTGACCAAAAACTGTGACATAAATATTGAATAAATGAAAGTGTGATTTCTTGAAATACTTTCAAAATGCAATCTAGTAGTGATGAACAAAAACTATGCTGTTGAAAGTGAGTACTATCTTGTCTGAGAACTAAGCAAGCAAGGGGATATAAGTTCTTAACAAAAGGAAAAAGAATTACATTCATCTATCCAGAAGAACTTACTGGATTTTTGGAAAGGCAAGACAAAAAGGCAAGAACCAACTTGGGGCAGAAAATGTCACTGCTTTTTTTATTATTATTTTTTTTTTTTATAAGTGGTAATGAAGTTGATCATACTTATATGTGGTATTTAAATCTTCGTTCAAACTCGTTAGTATATGCAGGATAATGTGCATGAATTTTTTGCCAACAAAATGCTATAATGGATGCCAGTCCTAGTTTTGATTTTTGCAGATCACACAACTTTGCTAAACAGAGAAGGCATTTAGTGATATGAAGTAAAGCATATCTTTTTTTATCACTTCATTTTATATATACAGTATATCAGTTCCAGGGCAGATTTTTTTTTTTTTTTTTTTTTCCCCTTTTCTTTTCTTTCTATTTTTTTCTTTTTCTTTTTCTTTCTTTCTCTTCCATCAGCAGCAGCTATGAGTTGTCTTGGTATCAGAAACTGTAATGAGGAAATTGCATATGATGGAAAATATTTAATTAAACACTTGAGTGTCATAGACTGTTGCTAGTGTGATGGAAAATTGGCAGTCACTAGACGGAAGGGATAGAAAGACAAAATGGTTGAAGCCGAGGGTGCCACGGTGATGTGGAATGACATGTAGTGCAAGGACTACACATAAATAATGGACTTGTGTTCTTGGTCATATTGACCACAAATTTCAAAAATGGAAAATAAATCCAAAATTTTGTAATAAATTTTTATTATCCTGTCTATTCCAACTATAGTCTAAGATGTTGAAAATCCGAGAGAGAGAGAGAAAAATAAACATTTGTACTGAACAATTCAGAGCAAGGTACCTCAATCTCAGTTTTTAAAATCCTCCTAATACATGTAAATATGAGTAGTTTCTTAGACTTCCTATTAAATCATGGCCTTCATAGTGGTATCTCATTCCCCAAACTTCATGGGTCATACACTTGTCTCCCTAGAACATGCCTCTGTTTCTAAGTCGGCAATAATTTCCAAGATATCATTCTTTATAAAACTTTCCTTCCTCCTTATACCTTTCTGATTCCTCTTCACTTTCATCCTGCTCACTGAATAGTTTGTAATGTGTGCCAAAATAATAATCCCTGAAATGCACAAATGTAAACTGAAATGTAAATGTATTACAGAAACCTAAAAATGAACATTTGTTTGCATACCTTGTTATCTAACACCAATGATTTATTAGTCAATTAATCCTTCCTTTAGTTCTGAAATATTTTGGGGGATAAAGAAGTGATTGCAATAAATTCCTGCAATTTTATTGGACTCCACTTACTCCACTCTCCTATGACTGCAGCTCCCTAATTCAATAAACATGCATTACCTTTGGATAGGCCCTTCATAAGGTACCACAGCTTATTAAATGATATAATATCAGTGAGCTGCCCAGCTAGTCTATGAATCTCTTCTCCATTGTCTATTTTGCTTAAAGTTTAATCGCCCTGAATATCTCATAAGAAAGAAGCAAATATTCACATAGTACTCCCAAGTAATAGTTGATCAAAATTTGTAATTAGAGAACTTTTCACATACTTCCCATGTGTGAAGTAACAATTCATTCTAAATTAACTGACAACCACATAATTAAGTCAACAAGATGTTTAACAACCAAGTGGAGCCACAGTTTCACAAGACAGCAGATAATGAAATGAATATTATGTCTCACTGTAGTTCTAATGTCAAGAATATCTACAAGCATTAAATTTGTGTTAAAGCTACTTGAATACTTGCTTTTAAATTAGTTTGATTTTCATGTCATATACTTAGACATTTATTCCTATTGGAAATATGACAAAACAGGTACAAGGACATACAGAAAATCTTTACTTCCTATTGATTTATGAAGTTAGAATTTAATACATTTCTCAGAATTAGTGAACAGCAACCATTCAAATATGATGAGAAAGTGGCAATGATTGCTTAGGATAGAAAATATATATAATTTATATATATATATATTTTTGTTCCTTACTAATCTACACAACTGACTCCTGTGCCCAAATGAAAAGAAAATCCTCAAACACAAAAATATATAGCACTAACATCAAAAGATGCAACCGAGAGAAATGTATTGAAAGTAAATTCTATAATTACTTAAATAATCACAACTCTAAAACTACTTTATAATCTGTAAAGATTCTATCTGTGCAACGTATGATTCAATAAGATTGTAGTTTCTGCAAAGTACTGATAATGATTCATTTAACCCATTGCTGCCGGGGAAAATGAACAAAAAATGGGGGAAATGCAGTACTCATTTTTTATATTTTTGTGAAATATCTCTGTCCATAGATGGCTCTGCTAGTCCTGATTTCACCTTTCCTAGAATTGGCGGGAAAAAACGTATTTTTACTAGTGCCATAAATATAGATGGTGTTATTTTTAACAGCAAATTAGGATAACATTAAATATTTTTGTAAATCGATGAAAAGGGGAACGGGCGACACAGGCAGTACTCGTAATTGGCTCATTGGATACTTAGTACAAGTCTAGCCATCTATGTGTAAAAACAATCGAACAAGTCGACTCACAGTGGGCATGGCATGTACGTACATGCCATCCCCGGCGGCAATGAGTTAACATAAAGGAAGCCAAATATCAAACTTTACATGGAATGAAAACAAAGAAAATCTAGAGGAAATTTGAGTTATTGCAATTTTTGTGTACAGTAAATTACTGGTAACGTCATTACTAAATTATTTAATTAAGAGACAGAATCTTGCTATAAGAATTATAAATGTTTATGCATTTAAGGTTAGATGAAAATAAATAAATATATCATTTGAAAGAAATGCCTACATAGTTATTATTTTTCTTTATTTACAATAATATAAACAGACCAAATTTGAAGGACTTACAATATTTACAGTTTAAATAATCCCAACCTACACCACTGTGCAAACAAGCATACTTTTTTATATTAATATTTTACTTTTCATTGTATCTATTCATCCTTAAAATTTTTTGTATGTCTTCCTCTCTTTTGCTAGCTTTCAATTTCAATTTCTCTTTTCTTGGCTGACTCTTCCACGTCAGTCAATGCTTACTAACACTTCTGTATCATCATTCAATTCTGCAAAATAAAAGCCCTATCTTCTTTAACCCATTCGCCACGGATTTATGTTCTGTCCCCTGTTGGTTTTGGTGAATTTTGCTACCTACAGATGGCTCCACATGTACTCAGCCGGCAAGGAGTCTATCAGTAGGCCCTAGTTACCGACCCTGATTTTCCCATTCATTGAATTGGCGGGAAAATTAATATCATTGCTTTCGATGCTGTTATTATTGTTACTGATGTTATGATGATTGAATTGTCATTAGAATATTTTTGACAATAAGATGATACAAAAAACCCTTTCCGAAAGTGAAGGAAAAGGCTAAACAAGTGAAATAGGTAGTTCTTGATAACTGGCTATTTGGTGATTAAGAACTTGTAGAGCCATCTAGGTGTAAATACAATAAATAAACGTGTATCAAAGTGGGTATGGCATCTATTCTTGCCAACCGCGGCGAATGGGTTAACAGAAAGTTTACAAAGCAAATTTTTAAAAATATATAATAATCATTATTATTATATAATAATGATGGTTATTATATAATCATATATAATAACCATTATCATAATAATCAAAGGAAGCCTGTGCTGGATTCATGTTGAACAAATTGTATAAAAAACAACAAAGGGAAGAACTGGAAAACGCAAATATGCAGACCTTTTCATATTTGTATGTTTTCTAGTCCTTTCCTTCATTGTTTTATTTACAATAAGGAAGCCTGTAATTCTATAACCAGGGCCTTGCTTTTGGCCATTTGTTTCTATAGATGCCTGAATAGCGAACCTTTTTACTAAGTCCTGCCAGCACGTTCTAGAGCCATGTCTTTCAGGAAATAAGCAGGATAATGGTGTTCCTTCTTATCTTCACCAATGTACTTCAGGTGCGGGTTCTTGATCGTGTTGTGTATCCCTCCAAGTGAGGTGTACCTGTGAATTATTGATAACTTGCAGAACACACATATACAACTGGTATGTTATCGGAAATAATTTTGCTGAATGGCAAAGTATCTGAGGTCACCTTGAATCATGATTTGCATCAATTTTATCTATATTTCATAAAAATAAAAATGAAATCAGAAATTTACTTTTGGATGCAAAAACTAAGAGAGGCTTAAATAGACAACAGAAAATTAAAACATTGTGATCATTTGTGTGGTAAAAACAACTTTCTTCACAAATGATTTACCCATGATCATAGAGGGTGCAGTACTGGACAGACAGTGTTCTCAGAAAAGTCCATACTGTCTGGTAATTCCAATCCAGAATAGGAGAAACGCGCATGAACTGAGGCCAGCCTTCGTCAGTCATCTGTGAGTCCCAAAAAATCAGAAGTTTAGTTTTTAATGCAAATATGCAGACCTTTTCATATTTGTATGTTTTCTAGTCCTTTCCTTCATTGTTTTATTTACAATAAGGAAGCCTGTAATTCTATAACCAGGGCCTTGCTTTTGGCCATTTGTTTCTATAGATGCCTGAATAGCGAACCTTTTTACTAAGTCCTGCCGGCACGTTCTAGAGCCATGTCTTTCAGGAAATAAGCAGGATAATGGTGTTCCTTCTTATCTTCACCAATGTACTTCAGGTGCGGGTTCTTGATCGTGTTGTGTATCCCTCCAAGTGAGGTGTACCTGTGAATTATTGATAACTTGCAGAACACACATATACAACTGGTATGTTATCGGAAATAATTTTGCTGAATGGCAAAGTATCTGAGGTCACCTTGAATCATAATTTGCATCAATTTTATCTATATTTCATAAAAATAAAAATGAAATCAGAAATTTACTTTTGGATGCAAAAACTAAGAGAGGCTTAAATAGACAACAGAAAATTAAAACATTGTGATAGGGTGCAGTACTGGACAGACAGTGTTCTCAGAAAAGTCCATACTGTCTGGTAATTCCAATCCAGAATAGGAGAAACGCGCATGAACTGAGGCCAGCCTTCGTCAGTCATCTGTGAGTCCCAAAAAATCAGAAGTTTAGTTTTTTTGGTCAATAAAGGTTCCAAAAGGAGAGTAAAAAAAAAAATTACAAAAACTTCGTTTCTCTATATACATTAATAAATAGCATATTAATGTAAAGGTAAAAGTAAAATAAATAAAAAAATATATATATTAATACATACTTAGTACCTTACAATGTACCCAGAGCAACAAACTAAGCCAGATGGAAATGGACATTGTCATCATAAAGAACATAAAAATTAGAGTAATACACAACACAGGAATAAATAGAAGGTAGGAAAGGTTAGGTTTGGATTTTGGGTTCGCTTGATACCCTGGTTTTGGGACTTAATCTCTGGAGGGGTGCACCCATTAACTAACCATATAATATTGTTTGTAGAGTGTCTGAACAATGTCTTCAATTTTAGTTTATTCTTATTTTATATTATTATTATTATTATTATTATTAATTTATTTATTTTTGTACTGTTATATATGACCCCTTTATAATGATAAAGAAAATATATAACACTTATTTTATAAAGATTCTAATGAAGGTTTTCATGTTCATTAAAGCTTCATTTTATTATGTATTAACACATACTTTGTACATTAACTAACCATACAATATCACATTTTGAGTCTTGAACAATGTCTTTCAATTTTAGCTATGTTATATATGAGGCCATCATAAGAATAATGAAAAAATATAATACACTCGTATTATAAAAACAATAATTAAGGTTCTCAAGTTCATTAAAGTTTCCGGTAAATGCAACACACTGATTTAAGAGGGAAATGGCCTTTGCCATCTTATAGAGCATAAGAAATAGAGCAATGAACAACGCAGGTATAGGTGCAACAGCCTTATATTTATCGCAAAATGATGAAAATATCCGCTGCATATCACTGTTCAGAGAGTCCACAGCACTTTAACCCATTGCCGCCGGGGAAAATGAACAAAAAATGCAGTACTCATTTTTTTATATTTTTGTGAAATATCTCTGTCCATAGATGCCTCTGCTAGTCCTGATTTCACCTGTCCTTGAATTGGCAGGAAAAAAACATTTTCTCACTAGTGCTATAAATATAGATGGTGTTATTTTTAACAGCAAATTAGGAGAACGTTAAATATTTTCGTAAATCTATGAAAAGGGTGAACGGGCGAGACAGGCAGTACTCGTAATTGGCTCATTGGATACTTAGTACAAGTCTAGCCATCTATGTGTAAAAACAATCGAACAAGTCGACTCGCAGTGGGCATGGCATGTACGTACATGCCATTCCCGGCGGCAATGGGTTAATGTTCTTACAGTTCTTAATGTTGTTGTTTTTCCTAATAAAAGGGGGAACACTTGTCCCCCTGTCTAGGAAATAGTTAGTAGGTAGGAAATGTTAGGTCTAGATTTTGGGTTTGCATGATACCCTGGACTTTGTATCTGGAGGGTGCATTACTCTCGGTAACAAATACCAAGCTTTCTATAACTGTGCAGTGTTCAATAAAAACAGTAATGTTTTTACTACACATTCTCCAAATCATAAAAAAATGAGATTTACCTGGAACGGCTGGAGTGTTTTGGAGTAGGGATCTGTCCACCTGGTGCCCATCAAAACTGCTTTCACTTTTGGTTCTTTTTTGGTCAGTTCCTCCAGGCCTTTCTTGATAGGTCCTTCTATCCTCCATAGTGTTAAGTTATACCTGAAGAGCAGAAAAAAAAACAATGATGATATCTTTAACCCAGTGCTGCTTACATGCCATGCCCACTGTGAGTTTAGTTTGTTAATTCTCTTAACACAAAAGTGGCTCTACAAGTCACACTGATGAAATAATTAGATACAAAGGGGTCAATTACTAGTTTAAACTATCTCACCTGTCTACACTTTTCATTGACTTTTGTCGTACATTATCATTAATACTGTTAATGACGTTATAATAAATATAATAATAAAAATAACATCAATATCGATGGCATTAGTAAATAGAAACATTCTTCCTGAAAACTCAAGGATAGGTGAAATCAAGTGAGGTCACTAGGCTTACTAATTGACACTTTGGCGGCTGACCATTTGTGGAGTTGTCTATGTGTGGAAACATTTTCACAAAAGAAAACTGAAGCATTACTTTTTCCTAGCAACATTGGGTTAAAGATCAAAATGGTTTCAGCTTAAATTTTTATGAACAAACAAACACTACTGCTATTTACAAACAGTAACCATATATATTACAACAAAAGAAAAGCTATCGAGAGATAATTTGGAATGTAAAGAATAGCTTTATACATCTACCTGTATCAAGATTATACATGAGCTAAAAACACATTACTATGAGTGGTGATATGACGTACAATAGCAAATTAAATACTATAATCTGGAAACAGATAGCTTCAGTGTGTTGCAACCTGATTAAACTTGCCTCCTTGACTTTAGGATTTTACCTGAAAAAATTCTCAAGACTATGACAGAAAGAGGACGACATTCCTGGTGAAATTCCTTACCCCAATGCTAAAATGCAATGTCTACTGTGGTTTGGTTTTGTGAAATGTGAGTACACATAGGAGTCAATTAGTCAGCAACATGACTTCACCAGAATTTCCCTTTCTTTAGTTTTCAATTTTTATATTTTATAATGCTATGAAAGACTATGGTGTTATTACTGTTGTTAGAAGAATGATAATTATGTTTTAAATAATACTAATAAAAAAAAAAATAATGAAAAAATAAAATAAAAAAATAAAGGAAAACTGTAAACTGGTGAGATAAGTAGGACCAGTAATTAGCTTTTAGTGACTAAGCACTTGTAGAGTCATATTTATGTAAATACAATTAATAAACTAACCTCACAAGTGGGCATGGTATGGTAGTACTTGCCATTCCCAACAACATTCAGAGAATTAGTTTCTATAAAACTGTCAGAGTTTTGTCCATGCACTCACCTTTTGACCATCTGATCAATAAAGACTTCCACTTCATCAAAAGGTGTGCTGCAGGTGATATAGACTGCCTGGATAGATGGGGTGTTTTCTGGGTATCTGTGGGGCAACACTGTACTTCAGCGTCATACTTGTGAAAATAATGTCACAGAAGAAACAAGTTGAAAATGTGACATTGCAAACTTGTCACGACTTCGGTAAGAAACAAAATAGATATATTTACGCTGCTGTGTTTGTGTTTAGATTTAGATCACACAGTTAAGTAATTCCTCCATAGTATAGCAGAACAAGTCAATAAGTCAATGGGGTTCTGTCTGCCAATAGGTACTTATTTCAAAACTCCTTTGCTGATTGTTAATGTCTTTTGTTTGAAAACCATTTCAAAGTGCAATCCATGAGGGGAAAATGTGACTGTTTATTTTTTGATAGGATATACAGTTTATGAAATATACAAGAAATTAAAATGAAAGGATAGATGTAAAGATGACACAAAAAAAAATCAGTTCAAAATAGATAATATAGTAGCGGGAAAATTGTCCAGAACAGAATTATGTAGCAGTGTTTTCTAAGAAATATGAGCTATGAATGGGTGAAATATTTTTTGTTAATAAAGAAAAGAGAACAAAAATAATTGAAAATGAAGATATGTCAGTGAAATTTCCTGTTAAACTACACTGTAAGCCAAGGACTGTGGGAAAATTGTCCAGAACAGAATTGCACAGCAGAGTTTCCTAAGTGAATTTGTTATTAAAGGGCAATATATTTTTAAAATAAAATGGAGGGGAGCAAAAATGTGTTTAAATTTTTCCTTCTTTCTTGACTGAAATTTCTATTAGATTACACTGTAAGTAATGGCCTTGGCTGCTGACCCATGAAAATATCTTTTATTCTCTCACTGTCTATGAGGTGTGCATATAACAATCAAACTAGACTATATTACAGTTACATTCTCTATAAAAAAAAAATATTTTGAAATAAATAGACCCATGTAACATCTTTTAATCACATCCTTTTATAAATGATTCCATGATATACTCAGTAATTCATTCTTACCTGTGAAGCAGTACTCCATGCAACAGATGCAAGATAACTGTGCAATCCTTGCCTCCATTGAAGCTTATGCAGATCTCATCAGTGGAATACCGATCCAGACATTCTTCGAGAATCTACATTCGAACATATACAGTGTCAATCATTTTACACAATTGCTCTTAAGGAAATATCTCTCTTCAGAGACTTAGAGACAAACAAACTTCAACAAATTAGATGTAACACGGTCAAATACCATTAACCCATTCGCCCCGGATTTATGTTCTGTCCCCTGTAGTTTTTGGCGAATTTTGTTACATACAGATGGTTCCACATGTGCTCAGCCGGCAAGGAGTCTATTGGTAGGCCCTAGTTACCGACCCTGATTTTCCCATTCATTGAATTGGCTGGAAAATTAATACCATCGTTATCGATACTGCTATTATTGTTATTGATGTTATGATTATTAAATTGTCATTAGAATATTTTAGACAATGAAATGATACAAAAAACCCTTTCCTAAAGTGAAGGAAAAGGGTAAACAGGTGAAATAGATAGTTCTTGATAACTGGCTATTTAGTGATTAAGAACTTGTGGAGCCATCTGTGTGTAAACTTGTATCAAAGTGGGCATGGCATCTATTCCTGCCACGTGTGGCGAATGGGTTAATAGGTTTGTAATATCAAGAGAAATGAACGTTGTTTGGAAAATCTGAAATAAGATATCAAATTTGCTATTTTGTGTAAAATGTTTGGATACTTTTCATTTTCACAAGCAGTCCTTTAATTAAAATTATATGTAATACAATGAGTCAAAGATAAGAGTACTCCAGGTCATCTTATGTGAATTCTGAAGAACTGTCCTCTTTGATAAAACATAAAACTCCTAAACATTCTTTTAAAACTGATCCTGAGAAAATAGTAGCAAACTTTATCAATCACAAGCACAAATTCAAGTTCCAAATTTCAACATAAGATCTATGACAAATATAAATTAGTCAAGTTCCAAATTTCAACATAAGATCTATGAGAAATATAAATTCAAGTTCCAAATTCCAAAATAAGATCTCTGACAAATATAAGTCATGTATTATGTTCACAACAAGAATTTAAACCATAACCAAACACCTACTTTCACAGCACTAGCAATGGGTCCAGTGAGATGGGGTTCCCCTCGCAGGGCAATGATATCATAAATCCTTCTTCCTGCATGGCTTATGCTGTTGATATCAAAGTCAACGATGACCTGGGACAAAAAATTAAAGACAATCATAATTACACATTGCTCAATACTTTGGTTCAGCACAATTCGGCTAGCAGTGCTCTTGAGACTTCTCCCGGTATTTACACTATACCCTGTAAAGATTGCCCCAAGTTTTACATCGGCGAGACCAGTAGAGCTTTGGAAAAAAGAATTAATGAACATGTTAGATATGCCAGAGAATCAATTTTTTTTTTCTTTCATTTGCGTGATGAAGGTCACCAGCTTAACTGGAAAAAAGCTAAATTGATTCATAAATTAGCTAATTCATATGAAAGAAAAATGTTAGAATCTCTGTTTATTAGAAAAATGCCTAACTTTAACTTAAGTGCTGGTCAATGGGGCTTGGATGACCTTACCTCCTTGTTAGTTAGCAAAGCCTTCCCTAGACTCTTTAACCTTGACCTTCCTGAGACCAGATTCAGTTCCTGT